CTACTACTACTACTACTACTACGATGACGACGACTAGGACGATTGCTACTGCGATGTTGGTCCGTGTTTGTTTTTGTTGCTGCCTGTTTGATCATATTGATCCGAAACCTTGGTAGTGTTTTGTATACCCTTTATGAAAGTATGATCTGTTGTTTGCTTGTTTATTGACCCCTTTCTTGATTGTTTGATCCCTGTTTGTGATTGTTCCCTATCTGTTTATTTTGATCCCTCTCCTTCGACGGCTATGAGCACAATCGAAAACATGCTGGGGGCCACGTGAAAGCTTCGTGCATCTGGCGCGTTCAGTGTATGCGTTGCAGGATGGCGCGAAGGAAGGCCACATCAAAAAATGCAACGACACAGATCACGATGGTGAGATGGATCTCAAGCTGACATTTCCGCCACTTCCAGCCATGGACTGCTACTTGGCACAACGAAAATGCGGCTGTCGTGGAGCGAACGGTCGCATCATTAAATGACCCTTCAACAATCTTCGACACCGAGGCAAGCTACCCAACAACACGGCCGGCAGCCAGAGTTACGCGAATCTCTACAGGCTTCTGCCCGCCGACGCTCCTGCAAAGATCTGCGCAGCTGATTGCTGTGCTTTGCTGAGTTGTTGCGGGGGTCTAGTCCTAGTGCCCTTGTCGTGTCCAACTCAGATTCCGATGCCTGCCTGTGACCGAAGGTGTTGTCACTGGCTGGGTTAAATGCGCGACGACGCCTGCATCAAAAGAACAACTGAAGACTTGCCCGCAGGACCGCCCGGCTCCCTCTTGAAGCAAAGTCCTGTTGAGGATCCTCTAAATTTGGCGGTGCCTCATATAATTATTGACATAAAAATTATTATAAAGTACACACCAAAATCCTATGCTAATTATAAAGGCCACTTTATGAGCTGGATTCAGTGGCCCCTCCAAAGAGCCGGTGTCCTCTACCACGCCCAGCTACTCTTGTGGGTTCCTGCGTTTTGCAGGGGTATGGCTACAAGTGGCGCTTGAAGAAGGTGGATGACGGCGCCGTCTGCCTTGAAGGAACAGACTGGTGCAAAACTGGCCGTTCTCTCGGATACTTCTTGGAAGCTCCTCTGAATTCTCGTTGGCACGACACCCCGATGCGTGAAGCCATGTGCAGCCCTTGTGACATCTAAGGATGATTATGATGTTTGGAACTGGCACAACTACATCCATCCAGGTCCAGCCCTCCCAAATGACGGGGATCAGTGCGGCAGCTTGGCAATTCAAACAACTTTTTGTGTGGGCTGACAGTGCCAAGAAGTGGTGTTCGTCGACATCGAGACGGTTCCAAACTCGATTTTCTCATCCAAGGACTCACTACCGATGAAGGAGTAGCTTGGAACTATGCGACTACGTTTAAAAAAAGAAAAAATGCCGTTTCGGAGCTGGAGCTCTATTATTGGAGAAGTTGAGACATGGCGAGGGAAGCTGCATCCAGCATTGCCGCCTGAAGACTCGAATGTCGTGCAGACATAAAAGGAAGCGCGTGCTGAAACGCTCAGTGTGCATGATGTCTTCGCTGGCTGCCTTCTGCAGAAGGTTTCATGGATGAGCTGCACGCCGGTTGAGGGTTTGTGGGCCCAGGTTTCGTCTGAGCTACATACCCTTGACATCCCTTGCCCAGAAGCCGAAACCACGTTCCTGCATTGAATCCAGAACCCTAAACCGTAAACCCTAAACCCTAAACCCTAAACTGTAAGTTGCGCTTGAGCCGGCGAGTGGCAGGCCCGGGACCTGACGAACCTCCTCCAGCTGGTGTCACCGAGGTAGGCTTCTGAAATCGTTAGGGTTTAGGGTTTAGGGTTCAGGGTTTTAGGGTTTAGGGTTTAGGGTTCAGGGTTTAGGGTTTGTGTAGGGGTTTCGCGTTTAGGGTTTAGGGTTCTAAAAATCGGATGTGGCTGTTTCGAGGTTTCGGGGTTTGGGGTGTAGGAGGTTGATGGTGTTAGCACTTATGCTCTCAGGATCTAGGTTCCAACCGCCGAAGTTCACTTCATAGTACTGGAGAATCACGTGAACGGCGGGCATTCAGCAAGAGTGCGCCGGGACAGATTGGCGTAACCCTAAATCCTAAACCCTGAGCCCAAACCCTAAGCGACGGCAGGTCGAACGAATGCAGTCAGTAGTTTCCGAGCAGTTCCGCTGCGGAAGGCCACGACCCAACACCCTAAACCCTAAGAGCCCAAGAGTAAAATAGGGGCCTTAATTTTTGGGTTTGTTTTATACTATAACTATAAAAGGGAACCCCAAAACGGTATTGGTAATGATGTAGGCCCCTACAATATCTCAACGCCCAAGTCCTTCGAATTCTAGTTCAGGCATGTGGTTTTGCTTCCTGCCCGTGCTGGAAGCTCCGGTGATGTAGCAGACACCAGCACTGGAGAGCCCCAGCTGAAGAGCTTGCAAGGGGTTTGGGGTTCAGGGATTCCCCGACCCCTACATACCAACGCGTGGAGAAAGGGAGCCGTTGCACATTCCAGAAACTCTTGATGAATCACCTGGGTTTCGGGAGGGAGCCAGAGTTGCTGGATCCGGCAGTCACCCTAAACCCCTAAACCCTAAGCCCTAAACTGAGAATCCAAAACCCCGAGGCCCTGATCCCCCAGCATGAACAAGAGACCCTCGGTGGGGGCGGGATGCAAGGCTGCAGTGTACTTTGGGAAGTTTCTACCGGATATTGCAGGTAAGTCTTGGGGCTTTTGTCCCGCTCCACCCTAAACCCTCAACCCTAAACCCTAAACCCTAAACCCTAAAGCCGCTGAACTCGCTAGTTCTTGAGTCCCAAACTTCCCCATAGCGTGACCCACACGCACTGGACCCGGAGCGAGAACCGTTTAGGGTTTAGGGTTTAGGGTTTAGGGATACTTGAGCCCTGAGGCCTTCAAGCTTAAACCCTAAGCCTTAACTCTAAGCCCGAAGCATTGAAACCCGAACTTGACCCTAAACCCAAAACCCTAAACCCTAAACCCCTAAACCCTAAACCCTAAACCCTAAAACCCCAAACCCTAAACCCTTTTAAACCGCCCAAGCCCCAGTTTTTGTTGTAAGTGTAACTTGGCTTCGCCGCTCCTCTAGCAGCCGCGCTGAAGCCCATAATGCTGCCCACGGTTTAGGGTTTAGGGCTTAGGCAACATAAGACATAGCCCTTCACACCGGCTAAGCCCGAGCCCTCTCCCATGGGACCCTTTCTGCCCCAAGTCATCCCCCTCAAAAGAACCCGTGAAAGGAGCCCTGACAGGAGCCCTTAAAGGAACCTCTTCGAGGAACAACCCTAAACCCTAAACCCTAAACCCTAAACCCTGAACCCTCAACCCTGAACCCTAAACCCTAAACCCTAAACCCCGTGTAGTACCTATTAGGGGGAGAAAAAATCCGATGAGCTCTGTGTCTAGGACATTTTCACGTGCCTTATAGGAGCCTTATAGAAGGTTTATAGTCCTTATAGAAGCCTTATAGAAGCCCTATGTACCCTAAACTCCCCACCTGTAGTTTCCTTTAACTGTGAGGATCATCTGGTGGCCCACTTCAAGCGAAGTGAGGAGCCGGAGACCAGCCGGCTACTGGGCTGCTTCGGTTTAGGGTTCTGAGGGTTTAGGTTCAGGGTTTAGGGTTTAGGGTATAGGGTTTTAGGGTTTAGTGTTCATGGTTTTAGGGTTTAGGTTCAGGGTTTGGGGTTAAGGGTATAGGGTTTAGGGTTTAGAGTTCAGGGTTTTAGGGTTTAGGGTTTTTAGGGTCTAGGGTTTAGGGTTTAGGGTCCAGGGTTAATCCTAGACCCTAAACCCTAAACCCTGAACCCTAAGACCCTAAACGAAACCCCAAAACTTTCCGGGCCCCTAAACCCTAAACCCTAAACCCTAAACCCTAAACCCTAAACCCCAAACCCCAAACCCCAAACCCTAAACCCAAAGGCTGCCACCGGAGATCCACGTCCTGCGCCCGAAAGACCAGCCGCTGCAGCTTAGCCTGCGGTCTTCCAAGAGGACGCTTGGGTTTTGAAGGTTTAGGGCCCTAGGGTTTAGGGTTTAGGGTTTAGGGTTTAGGGGTTTTCTAAGAGCTCCCGTCAGGGATGTTTAGAAGGGGATATAGGGTTTTATAGGGTTTTTATAGCCCCTCTAGAGGGGATATTACACAGGGATCTAGGGGGTTAGGGGGTTAGAGTTTTCTAGGGTTGCCGGGGTTCATACCGTACGGTTTACTGTTTTGGGTTCAGGTTTTTTGGGCTGAGCTTTTAGGTTTATTTAGTGGCTTCAGAGCTCAGGGCACTGGGTTTCAGGCTCTGGGAGCGCGAGTAACCGAAATCCTAAGGCTTAGGGCTTAGGGTTTAGGGTTTAGGGCCCTATTGTAGCACCCATAACCCAGGTCTTGACACGAATCGTAGTACCCATCACCCAAACCTGAAACCGCAGTATAGCACCAAAACACATCCTACCTTACCCCCCAGTATCCTACCTCTTGAAGGATGTGTTTGTTTAAGGACTTCATCATAAGGAACCGACAAAGGGGAGGCTTTTTTGGTAGGTTTAAGGCAAGCCCCGAACGCCTTGGAGCATGAGCAATCAGAACTGTGCCTCTGATCGTTGTATCATCCGTTCATGATACGTGTAATATAGACGCCTTTAGGGTTTAGGGTTTAGGGTTTAGCCATTGTCATACTTTTAAGTATCGGTTATCTTATCATGACTCTACCTCTTACTCGTGTTCATCTAGTAGAATACACCCTAAACCCTATAATAAACCCAAAGCCCTATTCTGAACCCTAAACCCTAAGCCCTAAACCCTATAACCAAAGCCCTATTCTGACTACTCAGGCTCCCACATTACCGCACACCCCAGTTTCATTTTTCCAGGGATCCTGCATCTTGGCAGCCATAGAATAAGTTAGGGTTTAGGTTTTAGGGGTTTAGGGTTTAGGGTTTAGGGATTTAGGGTTTAGGGTTTAGGGTTTGGGCGGCCACAGAACAAGAAAGAGAGCCCCTGCCCCAACGTCGCTGAATGAAGGAACACGGGTAGCGACGGTTGAGGGTTTGGGGCTTACGGAGTTCTCAGAAACGGGTCCCGTTTTAGGGCCCTTGTACAAGGGTGCCGTACTATCTCGCGGGCTGAAAAGGGACCCTAATTTAGAGAACTCCCCAGATGCCTTCCTTAACCCTGTAAAACGTATCTCTGTGCGGGTTCCTCATTAAGGGTTCCTTAAAAAACACCCTTAAAAAGGCAAGTTATTGGGATGTAAGGTATGCTTTAAATGAAACATAATATTGCACAACATATGCTCCAAGGTACATTCCTTGACTCAAGGGTATATAAACCCTGAAGAAACCCAACACTCGAGACACACAGCTCTATAAGATCATATGTTCCTTGATTAATCCCTAAGCACTAAACCATATAAGGTTTATGGTGCAACCCCCTTGGGGGGAGTGCTCTCGACCTCTGCTGTTGCAACACAAAGGGAGCACAATGCATTTACAAGACGCATACAGTACCCTAAAAGGGGGCTGGGGCTCACTGGGTTTATCCCTCGACCCTAAACCCTAAACCTGAAACCCTAAACCCTAAACTGGGTTTTTGTTAGGGGTTTAGGTAGACCGGGCTCAAGGACGAGGAGTCGTATCCAAGCTAGTGCAAAAGAAAATCCTGCTATGTACTATACTACTATAGACCCCTAATATAGCGTAAATAACTAATCCTAAACCTTATAGATCCCTATTATGGTGACTTAGACAATTTTCAGTTCAAGAACAGGAAGCTGCTGATCTCCAATGAATTATGGCCACAGATCAGCTACATGCAGCCCGTCTGAGAAGATTTGAGATATTTAGGATTTCGGGTTTGAGGGTTTAGGGTTTAGGATTTAGGTGTTCGGGTGTGAAGGTCTAAGGCTTTTGGGTCCCGCAAAACCAGACAGACAGCGCTCAAGGCTTCATAAAACCTTTAAAATGTCGGCTCTTGCGGCCGATAGAGCCATCGAGACGAAACCGGCAAAGTTTCCAGCAAGCCGGCTGAGAGGAATCTACGGGGAGTCTGAATTGCCACTTGACTTTCCTTTCCCGGGCCCTGGTTTCGTAGCACGTGCACAGCAGTACTGCAAGCCCCTGGTGTGATACAGGAGCCTTAATGATCCGAATGGGGTCTTGCGGTCTGGTCTGCTACATGTTTCATGAGGACTTGGAGGCCCGGGGAACTTAGTAAGTGGGTTATAAGTAGAGTTATAGGTACGCTAAATGGAGTTACCCCAATTATAACCCTACTTATAACCGACTTACTAAGTGCCCCGGGCCTCTAAGCACCCTAAGGGCAAGTCTTGCTAATCGTTCAGGTCTTTAGGCTTCCCTCAATGCACGATGCGTCATTCCGAGCGTCGACACTGCAAAGTAGTCAAGCACCCACGCCTACAACAACGGATGCTGAGAGTATT